CGAGTACAGAAGGTTACAGAACGCTTCTGCGCCTTCAGTTATTAAATAAATACTGTCGAGGTTTCAACCTTTTGTTATAATAGATTACTCTGTTTTGGTTCTTTTATTCTTTGCTTCAGTTTTTACACAACACACGTCAAACAGCAGACAAATCAAAGGACGAGCAGTCCTTCAAAGATCCTTTCATATGCGTTGAGGATGACTCTCAGCTACTACCACACAAAGGTTTAGATCAGTATCTGTAAGTTTACCTGAGTCAGACTTACATTTGTGTTGCTAAGGTCTATTAGCTGAGGCAGCCATCTTAAATCGGGTTGCCACCAAAAGTTAATCAGCGGCAGAGGTGCATCTGATGTTTAATTCAATTCAGTTTATTTTCGGAGTATCAAGGAAAGAAACCAGGAAGGACAGATGGTGGTGGATTTTGCCAAAAGAATGGAAATGGATGTCGTCAACACTTATTTCCAAAAGAAGGAGGAACATAGAGTGAGCTATAAGAGTGGAGGAAGGAGTACGCAGGTCGACTACATTCTGTGTAGAAGAGGAAACCTGAGGGAGATTGGAGACTGTAAGGTTGTGGCAGGGGAGAGCGTGGCCAGACGGCATCTGATGGTTGTGTGAAGAATGACTGTTGTTGTGAAGAAGAGAAAGAGTAAAATCAGAGAAGAAGACCAAATGTGGAAGCTGAAGAAGGAAGAATGTGAAGAAAGAAGGAAGGTACTTAATGGTGTGATAAGGAAACCTGATGGTGGAATAGTGAAGTGCAGGACACAGTTCAAAGAAAGAGATTAGCCAAGAAGAAATATGACAAGAGGACTGACGAGAGGAGACAGGAATATAAGGAGATGGGACGTAGAGCAAAGAGGGCGGTAGCAAAGGAAAAGCAGAAGGTGTATGATGAGTGGTATGTGAGGCTGGACAGTAAAGAGGTGAGATGTTCTGTAGGGGTGACAGCATCATGGTGGAGGTGGGAGTGCATCAAGGATCGGCTCTGAGCCCCTTCTTGTTTGCTCTGGTGATGGACCGACTAACAGATGAGGTCAGGCAGGAATCCCCTTGTTTGCAGATGACATTGTGATCTGTGGTGAGAACAGGGAACAGGTGGAAGAGAACTTGGAGAGGTGGAGGTATGCACTCGAAAGAAGAGGAATGAAAGTCAGCCGTATTAAGACAGAGTCCATGTGTGTGAATGAGCAGGAGGAGGTGGAACAGTGAGGCTACAAGGAGCAGAGGTCACAAAGGTGCAGGACTTCAAGGACTTGGGGTCCACTGTCCAGAAGAATAGGGAAAGTGGTAAAGAGGTGAAGCAGAGAGTCCAGGCAGGATGGAGTGGATGGAGAAAAGTTTCAGGAGTGATTTGTGACAAAAAGGTGTCAGCAAAGGTCAAAGGAAAAGTTTACAAGACAGTGGTGAGATCAGCTATGTTGTATGGTCTGGAGACAGAGACGTGGACAAAAAGACAGGAGACAGAACTGGAAGTGGCAGAAATGAAGATGTTGGGGTTCTCCTTAAGAGACAAGGATGGATAAGATCAGGAATGAGATCATCAGAGGTACCACACAGGTTGAACAACTGGGAGATAAAGTTAGAGAGGACACACTGAGATGGTTTGGACATGTCCAGAGGAGAGACAGTGGTTTGGACATGTCCAGAGGAGGGACAGTGGTTTGGACATGTCCAGAGGAGGGACAGTGGTTTGGACATGTCCAGAGGAGGGACAGTGGTTTGGACATGTCCAGAGGAGGGACAGTGGGTATATTGGTAGAAGGATGTTAGAAGTGCAGCTGCCAGGAAAAAGACAAAGAGAAGACATATGGATGCAGTTAGAGAGGACACGGAGGTAGATGGAGTGAGGACAGAGAAAGATGGAGGAGGATGACTCACTGTGGAGACCCCTGGAGAGGGAAAAACTGAACGAAGAATAAATTCCATTCAGTGGTTCATGAGATATTTTGCTAACACCACACACACAACCAAAACCATAATTGTCTTTTCTTTTTCAGGCAGAAGAGCCTTAAGACAAAACAGAGTGTGCAGCATGTTAAATCAAAGTTAAGGCTTCGTTTTATTACCAGACATTCCTTCATCCTCAGTTCTTCTAGTTATGAAAAGTAGGACCACAGCACATGCACGTTATGCTGCTATCATTTATTAAAAATAGAAACATACTCATAGTACTTCTCATACAGGCTACAATGGTCCACAGATAAAACGTAAACAAAAATAAAAAAAGATACGTTATAAAAACACTCATTTGACCAAAATCCACTGTAGAAACGTCTCCAACATCCTAAAAGTCGCATGGTTGTAATTTATCCTGTTTGTGTCTGTTTTTAATAAAAATTAACAGTTAATGCAGAGGCAAAACTGTAAATAAATAAATCTGATTTGTCCAGAGAGAAATAAATGCACATACAATGGATTTTAAAAAAGATGGCACATTTATTGCAACATAAATGTTATATACATTAAGTTTTTCTGTTGAAAAAAGACAGAAAATTCAAATTCTCGCTGCCACAGTTTTTTTTTTTTTTTTTTGTACTTATTTTATGTGCATCAACAATACTTTTTATTTGACACAAGAACAAATCTTTGTTTTTAATCAATCAACAACGGAGACCGAAGAGATCAATGGAAGTCCCTCTTCTTAAAAATCTGGAGCGTTTTAAATGAATCCGACGGCGAGCAGTTCTTGGACATGCCGTTTGTAAAATCTCTCGTTATAATCGACACGTTGTGGTAAATAACCGTACATTTTACTATCTAATATAGTAAAATAAAGTAAGAAACTTTTTACTCAAAACTTTTGCTTTCAAAAATCTAGAAAGAGTAATATTTAGAATTCAAGAAATATTCTTACAGTATTATTGTATAAAAGACTAACTACAGTGAAAAATAAGCCAAATGTTTGTTTTTTTATCTTTTGATTTTTTTCCGTCATATATTATACAAGGGAAAGCATCTGGGAGTACAGCAAAGTCTAACATGGCCAACAAAAGAGCAAACAAATACAGGAAGGACGTGAAAATAAACAAACAAAGAGCCGGAAGCGACAAACTCTCAGTTCGCGAACATGAATATGAGGTCATGAAATACTGAAATGAAGAAATGACAAAGGCCACATTCAGTTAGAGAGATCAGATTGAACAGATCAGTCCTCAGAGTTGTTGGATATAAACTCCTGCTGGGTCTCTCGAGCTCTCGTACGGAGGACTCGTCCTGAACGTGCAGCCATGGCGAGCACGATGAACACGATGTACAAAGAAACATTTGGAATATAAAGCAAAGCCTTACGACAAAAATAAGTCACAACAGGGGAAACAAAATAAAGCCACGAGCAATGTCTTGAAATGTAAAAAAAAAAAAAAAGTTTACTGTTTTTGTTCATTCTCAGCCGACAGTTCAGTAATATCCAACAAAATCCACCAAATATGCAGCCTGGCTGACTTGACTGAGTTTTGATCGAAACACCGTTAAAATAACTTCCTGTAGACGTTTTCTGTGCTGGTTGACATGATGGCGCTGGACGTCGGAAGAAAAGGACTCAATACGACACGAGCATAACTAAACCTTACTTTGAATAACTGCAGTGAAAAGTTAAAGTGTTGAAATTGTAGCCAAAAAAAATAAAAAAAATTAATCAGGCCGGGAGAAAATGTGGTCGTCGTCGCTTATGTTTTTTTTTTTTTTTATCTTTTACTTGCAACTACAACTTATTAAAAGTAGTCTCATCAGGCTGCGACTGCTGGAGATTAATTGGAGGCAAAGTTGGAGAAATTCTACCAATTTACAGGAATAAACCTGGAATTTAAAACACTGAACGTTGACCCAAAGCAGGAATTTTAATTGTAGTTAGGTAAAATATATATTTAGCATAATCTTGACTACCGTAATTTGCTGTATAAGTCGCAGTTTTTTGCATGAATTAACATGCCTGTGACTTATACAGTGAAATGACTTATTTATGTTTTTTCCCATATTTCTAACCCATTTTTTGACTGAACTGACGATTTCATTCATTCCGACATGGAAAATATTGAACACTACCATTTTCAGCCACTAGAGGGCCTTTGAGGCAAGCCAAATGTCTCATTAATAGGTAAAAGTGATTAATGAAACACTTGGCTTGCCATACAAAGCCACATTCGTCTGGCTCCAACAATCAGCGACCATTAAAGTACGTTTATTAAGAAAAAGTTCAACTGAGACTCATCTTTACGATAATGTTGAGCAAACAAATAATTGTTTTAAGTGCTAATCTTGTTAAAGTCCTCCTGTGCACGCTCCCGCAGCCACCATTTGGCAGCCAACCAATTTTTGGCACAACACCGGCCTGTGTTTCCGGGTGGTCAGTGGTGATGCATAATAGATGCGACTTACACGGCGAAGCAACATATTTATGTTTTTCCCACTTTATTTTTCGACTTATTTGGACTGGTGCAACCTACACGGTGGTGAAACGTGTACGGCGGCAACTACGGTACATAAAGAGAGCTTTGGTGATATTGTGTAAATATTATTGATGTATGGTATTAACGAGTCAAACAGGTTTTAAATCCCAAACCAGGCATTGTTGTTTCTACCCGACCACTAAAGAGCAGGCACACGTTTCTTTGATTATATCCCAGCAATTATAAAAATGTTAGTAGGAAGTTAAAAAAAACAGGCGCTGAAGGAGTGAAGGTAGCGAGGATTTGTTGGAGTACGTTTTGAATGGACTGAAAGTTTAATAAAATCTGGAAAACCTCCAGAAAGTTCCTGCCTCTTTGCAATCCTACGAGCTCGTGACTCAAAACGACTCTGCGACAAATTAATCACCAAGGAGGGAAAATCGCATCTTGAACGACACTTTTTCAAAAACCACGTCTTATTTTTGGTTTTACCCACATCGTACCTACACTGACTCATTTTGTACCCACTGAGCCACCATCACGTTTATGATTTAATCCACCAGATTTCACTTTTGAAATAAAGATAGGCAGTTTTGGACCACTTGCTTAATAACTATTATTGATCCTGGGCGTGGTTTTTAGACATAAACGTGTTTTTTATCCTCTGCGGGTGTCAAAATTCAGCTGTGGTGCTCTCAAGACGAGTTATGGACATCTGGGACAAAATAGAAACAGGTCCAAGATGAGTTTAAGACGTCTTTGAGCCGACTCTGTGACTGTTCTGAGAGACTACCGGTCACACACGTTTATGGAACATGTTCAAAAGTCGTCTCAAGCAAGAAAACTGAGAAACCCCGAGAGTTTCCAGCCATTTTGGAGATTCCCTCGCAGATGTTGCCAGCTAGCCTGCAGCAGTCGCAGCCCTCTGAGCTACCGTTACTAAGCAATACTTGATTAACTGGAGCCAAGAAAAACAAAACATAAAATAAATCCATGTTCCATCAGGAACAAGAATGTGACAAAAACGTGGATATGAAACACTTTATGGCAGAGCAACAACCAGGCCGTGAAGTCCCCTCTTTTAGAGAAGACACTAAAAAGTTGTAGGGGACGCGTCGTTCTCCGTACGTTCAACGTCACGAGCCGTCAGTCAAACTACAGTTTGCCACTCATCTGTCACCTTTTAGACATTATGGTTGATGCTAATCCAGGACCGGAGCTCAGCACCACAGAAACAAATATCAGGTAGTTTGGGCTACACAAGAACTAATATATATAAATAATAAATTCTCTTTTTTAAACAAAGTTTGTGTCTAACAGCAAACAGTATGTTGTGTTGAGTTTAACTGCACCTCTAAACTGGCCAATAAATTAATCTCAATCGTCTCAGTGCCCCAATGATTCCCCGGACTCTGCGGGGTGGAGTGCTCGGTGTTAACGGTGACGCTGGCAAACTATAGATGAACTGAAGACGCTGCTCACGTCTCTGTGAACTTACCTAGCTTTCCCTTTAGAAATACATTTTATACTTCAATAACATAATAAATAGCAAAACAAAAAAACGGACAAACAGAGAAAAGGATTGCTGTTACAATGCGTTCGTCAATTCAGTTTAGGCACAAAGCAACTTCCACGGCGGGCTGGAGGAGATTGCGAAGTCTCTGATTGTTCAGAAGCAACACGCTTCTTGCAGACAGTGATATGTGCTGAGGTGGGTGTTTTTCTTGTGGGGAGAAATCTGCAGACGGGAACGCCGAGCTGGACGCTCGGCTCGCTTTTTGAATGGGAGGACTGGATTGTGTGGTTTTGCTTCAAGTTGTCGGTCTCCTCCCATCGGGGTCACAAACCGTGAGTCCTGTCTGTCACCAGGAAGCAAGGTGACCGAGTCCAACGGGCCCGACATGAACCGCGGCGCACCGACCTGCAGAGGAAAACAACAAAATACTTTATTTTAGAGAAAAACAACAAAATACTTCATTTTAGAGGAAAAACAGGAAAAAAGCTGATGCTGTCTTTGTTGTTGATATGTAATTTTCTCTTTATTCCAGCAGAATACAAATATGAATATATATATATATATATAATAATTATATATATATAAATATATATATGCAAACAGTCAGCTAATTAAAATAAATTATTGGGCTTTAAAATTTCTAAGTGGTAAAACGTAGCAAACAAAAAGCTGCCTTGATAATTTTAGCTTTTAGGTACAATTTTGTTAATTTTAGCTTATAATCACAGTTTTTCCAACTTACAAATTTAGCAACAGTTTTGGTCATTTTAGCTTTAAGCTACTGTTCAGCTAGCTTTTGCTTAAAGTTATCGTTTTGCAAATTTTATCTTTTTAATCTACATTTAGCTTGTAACAACTGATTTGCTACGTTTAGTTTTAAGCGACTGTTTAGCTAATTTTTGTAGTTACAAGTTTTTCTAATCTTTCAGCTACATTTTGCTTTAAACATCTGTTTAGCTACATTTAGCTTTAAGCTCTTGTTTTACTTTTAAACTTTTGTTGTTTGCTTGTGGTTACAGTTTTGCTCATTTTAGCATTTAGCTACTGTTTTGCTGACGTTAGCTTTGTAACTAAGCTTGTTGTTGTGAATTTGTCTAGTTTTCCTTGATTACAGATAATTTTATAGTAAAGCCGAAAAATATTTGGATGTTTTGAAAAGTTTAAAGCTTTGAGAAGAGGTCAAAGAAGACAATTTGTGAAATGATTCAATTCACTTCAGTTTATTTATACAGCTCCAAGTCACAACAGAAGTCATCTCAGGGGAGTGCACAGAAACATCCATGTATAAAAATAATAATTTAACATTATTCATCTGAGGAGCAGATGCTTTGAGTTTAACTCCAAACGATAACGGGGATAACTTTGGTTCAGAAGTTTTGGTTACCTGTCTCCTGCTCAGAGGTGACCCATTGGGTTGGAGGTGTCGGTCAGGCCCGGATGGACTCCTGTGTGGCCCTGCGGAGCGTCACTGGAGCTCCCCGACACTTTCTCCTCCTCCCGTCTCTTAAGGCAAGCTGCTTTGGGGTTTAGGTTCCGCTCTGCAGATTCACAAAGACTAACATTAAACCCTTCTGCCTGTTTTTATTTAAATAAAACATTCAAAATCGACATCTGTCAATCCTTCTAACAAAAAAAAAAACATTAAAGACATTTATATTAAAAAAAAAACTTTTGATAAATCCTAATAAAAAGCATGAAGACAGATTATTTTTGACCATCTTTCCTCAACAACAGGAAACAAAAACATCGGCTTTTTATTTCCTGCAGCTTCTTCGCCGTCGTTCACAGTCATCTGCACTTTTTATTCTTTTACATTCTCAAGTTTCTTCTAGCTGCGGCACAAAGAACGTCTCCACCTGCAGGACTTCACTGTGAAAACTGTTTGCACACAAACACAAGCAGGAAAATATTCCTGGAGGCTTCAACATGGCTCCATGAAGCTAAAATGTAAAATGAAAACAGATTTTAATGTAAATAATTAACAGTGGACATGTTTTTACTTAAATCTGTTACATCTGTAACATTAACCTTTTTATTATTATGATGATTATTGTTAATTAAAATAATTAATTACAGTAGAAAATTATCATTTCTAGGTGACTACTGACATAAAGGTGTATGAAATGCAGTATTTTATTTTATAAAATATATATTTTATTTTTCATGTGGTGTTTAATAATTCATTTTTTGTTGCCTTATCAAATTCTACCACCTGTGGGCTTCAAATTTAACAAAAAATGAATTATTAAACACCACATGAAAAATAAAATACATTTTAAAACACCTATTAATGTGGACTGACTGTGTAAGCCATCCATCCATCCATCCATCCATCCATCCATCCATCCATCCATCCATCCATCCATCCATCCATCCATCCATCCATCCATCCATCCATCCATCCATCCATCCATCCATCCATCCATCCATCCATCCATCCATCCATCCATCCATCCATCCATCCATCCATCCATCCATCGAT